AACAACATACAAACCCTGAGCTGATCTGATGAGACTGGGTAAAGCTGCCTTGGAAAAGCTGGCCAGACCAAGGACTGAGCATCTGAGCAAACCCCGTAACTTCTGCTTATGCAACATGCACAAACATTACAAACAGGGAAGTATCATATTAACACAGGTATATGACATGTGTCAGCAAAGGAGGGAAAGGTGAGTAACCAAAAAAAAAAAAAATCAACTGCCACAGGGGGGAAGTGACAGGAAAGTTGACTTGCTTTGAGTCATCTCCCATTACTAACACGTTTGGCATACTGGACATAAGAGATTGCAGTTGAAGCGTAAGGGCCATTTCCTTCTGCTCCTTTTCTACCATTTGTATTTTCATTTTTCAGTATCCAGGAGTGCTACAGCATAAATAAAGAGAGACTTGATTCTGATCTTTGATGCACACCACTATTTCGGAGGTTCCTAAGGAAGCTCAGATCTGTACTTGGGTAATTCAGATGAGAATCTGGCCAGCCAGCCTTGATTTTTCACTGGTTTGCACCTTGCAGGATGCATGCATTTGTGCAAGGTAGGAAGTAAACGGGACAGTACAACACAGTGTATCAGCGTCAATGTCTGTATAGAACATCAGTTCAGGGTATTTCAGACAGGACTACTCGGATTAAGACACTATAGAACCCAAGCCACAGGCAAAAAGCCCAAGCTTTTGGGTTTTGTTTTTTTTTTTTTAAGATCTGCATAGTAAAGCCTCTACTCACCACCATACTATTCTGACATCTCTCTCCGCATAAACTCCCAGCAATGCTTGCAGATAGATTCACAGCTTTTTTGATCAGTTTGATTTTGCTCATAATAAGACATAATTGACTTTAAATCTAGCTTTTCAATGGTGTATTCATGAAGTGGACTGTGAAATTCCACAGCCCTGGATCCACACCTGAGGAAGCAGGTGATATTGCAAGAGCACCCAGCGCTAAGTATTCTTGTGGTTGTTACTGACAAATCTGTGCACAACTGGGGATTATGTCAACTCGGATTTCCTCGCTACACACATCACAGCAAACGTACGCCCCGTCTAAACATGCAAACGATGACATTAGTTAGCAGCGTTACTTATAGTGTTCGATACAGATTAAACACCCTGTAGACTATGCAATTAATTTGTCATGAAACCTTTAACATCTCCCTTTCTCTACAACATCTTCCACAAATATATTTGTGCAGAACTGTCTCATTCCCATCCTTCACAACAGAGCATGTTTATAAAAATACTCTTCCTCTCAGCTCCAAAGAACAAGTCCAGCACTGCAAACAAATACAGTATTCTGCCTCAGGACCACTTTATGATGCCTGACTATGCCCAGAGATTGGGAAACACTGAACTTATGAGATAATTATGTATTAAAAGGCTCTTTATACCAGACTAAACTGCATTCTTGCTGCTAGGTTTCCAGCATACATGTGGGCTCTGTACACTCTCCAGATGTTTGCTGTTCCCCAGCAAACCTGGCTGAGGAGGCACAGGGGAGAGGGAACACCCTGCGAGCCTGGCTTGTTTTATCTCAGGCTTTCCCAGACTGCTTGACGACTTACCATTCTTTGGTTGGGACCGTTCTCTGTGTCACCACTGACCAGGGACCTCCTTCTTCGTTTCTTTTCCTCTAACTCCAGCTGTTGAGAGATGAAAGGAGGATGGGGGGTAGGAAAAGATGTATATGAGGTCACTTGCACCTACTTCTGGGGGCAGACTCAGTGGATAGGCAGGAGCTGGTGTCCTGCTCCAGCAGATAAAATGCCAGAACAGCTGCAGAGCCTTCTTGGAACTCAACATAGTGTATTTAGAAGGGGATGCCCAGGCAAAGCCCTTAGCTTTGCTGAAACACCACCTGCTCTGCACAACACAATTCAAGATAAAAACTTTTCACCATCTGCCCAGCATCCCTGAGGCACCTTTCCTCCCTTGCCTGGCATTTGATGTGTCTCACAACAAAAGCACTCAGAAGCTGTCAGAAATAGTCACCTGCCTCCTCCAGCATCAAAGAACACTGTAACACAGCCCGAACATGGCTGGACAAACTTGTCCATGGAGAGGGATCCCTTTAGAGGGAGTGGGAGGGATACCAAAAGCCAAAGTCCCTTGCAACTCTGTCCTTTCCCATCCATTCTATTGTCCCCCAGCCTTACCACTCACCTGACTCCTACTCCGAGATGGAAAAGGGCAGTCTCTGTCTCTCCCTTTCTCTCTCCTGCTTGTCTATGTTGCAGAATGGTGTGACTAGATGGGAGGTTACGAGGGTTGGGCTGAGAAGACAGTAGGCACGCTAAAGTCCAAAGGGCAGGACTGTGGGGTGGGGGAAAAGGAGGAACTTTGCAGCAGGTGAACTTTGAGACCTTTATTGTGGCTATTGCATGTACAGAGACCTCAGCAAGCAAACACTGGAGGAACCGAAACAGATTCAAAAGAGCTGTGCTGTTGTGGTTGCCTGGGAGAAAGAAAAGCTGGATCCTGTCCAAGTAGGAAGAGGCAGGAAAAGGAACAGAAACACACACTGCTCTGGGCACGGCGTGGCAGAAGGAATCTCTGCAGTCTTCCAACAACACTGACCTTAACTCTCTGCATCATCCTTTGCTAGTCACGCCAGCAGCAGTACTGGGTCCCTCCCTCGTGAAGCTGACAGCTATAGGCATGTTACTTGCTACCCTGAGTGGTCTGGTTTCCTGTTTTCAATTTTCTTTTTAATAGCTTGTGCAAAATACATTCAACCCATTTGACAGAACCATGGCACTCTCCTGCACACAATTTTCCATCTTCTCAAAAAACTGCCATCCTGTTCTCACACCAACTATGGGCCCAGCTTATTTCCAAAAGGCCAAAGACTTCAGCAGCCTGAGACAGCTGTAATGGGCCAGGGAAGGATAACTGTGGACTGAAAAAATCTTGCATTTCAGTCACCATCCGGGAAAACACCAGAAATTGAATGGAACAACTAAAAGCTCAAGATGAATGACTCAGAGCTTGAGCAGAACAGCAGCTCTGGAAGCCAAAGATGGAATAAGCTCACATCTTGTGTGGAGCAACCTAGAGAAGCTCATATACACAGACATGCAAGTCAGCTGCATTTGTACTACTGTTGCCAATTCTGAACTTCGTCTACGGAGAAAAGGGTCCAGTCTTTGTGCTTCCTTCTTTTGACTACATTTATGTCAGCCAGAGAGTGAAGGACACCTCACTGGATCATTTCCAAGAAACTTGCTAAAGCCATCCCTGTCCTGGCCTCACCCAGTCACCAGCTCCACCTAGGGCAGAAATAGCTCCTGCAGTACACCTGATCCTGAGAAGAGTGTTGTCACCTGGCAGTGCTTCCTCCTTTGAATTAAAGGTCTGGAGATTAAAATCATGGTATGAAATTGCACCAAAGTCTTCTTCAGTCTCCTGTAACGCTTCCTAGAGGGATGTGAGAAGAGAACAGCTAGTGAGGGAAACATCAACAAAATTTAGGCAGACTGTGGGCTCAATTTGAGGGTATGGGCCAAACAGAACATCAATACAATCAGCCGTCCGGGTTTGGTCTCACTGTGTTAAGCCTGATCCTCTCCTAGATGTTTTCCCACTCTACCTATCACAATATCAGCCTTAGCACAGGCAAGCTACTAAAACAGTTTTGACAGCAGCTGTATTTATCCTGGAACCTCTGCTCAGTGCTGGGAACCAAGCTAGGAAGTCCCTTCTCCACCATTCCAGTAACAGCATTCCCTCCTGCAGAGCAGGCCAGAAGCCAACATGAGGGGCCTGGTCAGGCACATCTCCACTTTGCTGTCCTAGGCAAGGACAAAGAGCTGTACCTTGCCTGGCCTTTGACTCCTGACCTTGCCTGGTAACCTCGGAAGTGAGCCTGAATGATTGTGACTTTCTCCTGGAGGATACGGAGGCGTCTGCGGCGAAGGAGGCATCGGAAGTTCCTTTGCAGAGTAACAATGGCCCAACTCTGCCTCTGGTTCCATTGTCTCTCCAGAAGCTGCCTGGCCTTCTCCTTCAGAAAGACCTGGGCAAAGGGAACAGCTGCTGACCCACGAGGAAAGCAGCCAGCTTTTCTAAGAGTTGATCAATAAGAAAAGCTGCTGGTTTATCTCTTTGCAGCCTTTATGGCTCCCTGCTAAGGAAACTGCACTCCTTTAATTGGGGAGGGCAGGAGGCGCAGGTGCAGGTGACAGAGATGGATGCATTTGTGGAGGACAGGGAATAAGGGAGTGATGGAGGCTAGAAGGCAGGAAAGGCAGAAGCCCAGATCTCCATTAAGGAATTCTGGGTAGACAAAGGAGTTGGCCATGCTACTACAACAGCCTAGAGCCAGAGTCTCCTGTTTCTTTATCTGAAATGCTAAAAATCCCTCCTTCATATTTGAGACAAGAGGCAAAGCAAAAGGGAGGTGAAGGCATGCAATGTTCTCCCTCTTTGGGCAGAGAACCAAGCTGCTCTCTGCCCTTTGACAGTCAGTGAATAGATGGCTGGGGCTGTGCAATTAAGATGAGATTCTCTATAGGCACCACCTTTGTTACTCCAATCTGATAGAGATCTGAGGGGTTCCCCACCACGTGAGACAGCACTGCTGCACAGCCTTCTCTCTCCTCCAAGCAGTTGCGCTCTCGCCCAGCCAGGAGGCCATACCTGGAAGATGAGATGTTGATATGATGAAGCCAGGGCTGTAACTGAATTCCTCAGAGGAGAACAAATAACAATGTACTGACAAGGGCTTTGGGTGGCTGGGGAATACCAAGCCAGTACACTACTGTACCTGGCTAGAAAGTTCTGGAATGGAAGACGGACTGGGTATCCCTCCTTTCTAATGTGGATGGCCTCCAGTATCCCAGAATGCCGCAGCTGACAAGTGACATACTCCACATCAAAGATATTTGACAGCTGTGAATATAAGTCAGAAGAAAAACATGAAACAAGAAACAAAGAAAAAATAAAGGAGGCAGAGGGCAGAGAGTTTAGAAATGGTCTCCTTCTATTGTCCTGTCCTTGGGTTAGATCTCACCATTGTCTATGGGCAGTGGAACACAAAACCCAACACATCCTTTGGCATCCAACTGACACTGGCTTCTTATCCTCCAGCATGTGGTCAGCTCACATGGCCAGAGGGAAGGGTGACAGAGAAAAGGGAAGAAAAGCTTCAAGCTATCAAATGAAGCAAAGAAGTCCAAACCCCAAATGTGAAAGGAGAGCTGCTGGAGAGGACTGGACTTCAAGGACTGAGAGAATCCATAAGGAGTTCAGGGTGCTGCCCTACCTTTTTGGGATTAGGGGTGATGCACCGAATGAAAAAGGCATGGCTCCTGCAAAACAGAAGGAAGAATCTTTGATCATCCTCCTGTGTGCCAGCCTGGGAAAACCTCACACAATTCTGGGTGCAGCAATCAGCCCAGTGTAGGGATGGCACCAAAAAAGCATCTCTCACCTCCTCAGCTTGTCTGTGAGGTCCTGCAAAGACTGCTGGAATTTGGACACCAGTGTGGAGGCCTGAGGCTTGAGCCCTTTGCCTCTGGCCCCCAGCTCCCTTTGCTGAATATAGGCAGCTTTAGCCTTCTGGAAAATGTGAGACACTACCTGTGAAAACAAAGAAATGACCAAATCTCCCTGATCTACATGGAAAGAACAATCTCTTCTATCTGAAACTGGAGGACAATTCTCCTTTGCAACTAGCAGTGCCAGAACCCAGCTGCATCCTCAGGCAGTGTGTGTGTTTTATATATAAAATGCAGCACTTGCAGGCAAAGACAAATTACTCAGTTCCCAAGTGTCCTTCAGTAGAACAAAATTCCTCACAGTTTCTCCAGGTTCTCCTGACATCGGACCAGGATCTTTCTGCTTCTCACATGAAAGCAATGAGTGGATAGTTAGGTGTCTGCAACAGAGGTCTTCATCATGAACCATTACAGTACCTTGAGGCGGCTCTGAGAAAAGATATCCAGCACCTCTGGACGTAGCTGGTCACGGTTTTTATTAAGAAACTTGTGGACCTGCAGAGGCAAAGTCTGGTTTAATGCACCATTCAGACCACCAGCCAGACAGGCAAACACCACTCTTACACACACTTTGACTTGAGGGAGACAGCTGGAGAGGTGGAACAAGGGGAAAGCCCTAGAGAATGAAACTTGCTGTTCCTGCTGTCACCAAGAGTGGAGAGGCCAATGACTTCTGCTTTTAGGAGAGATTGCTCCTTTTGCCCTTCACACTGCCCAGCAGGCTTTGATCCCTCACTTTCTCTCAGCAGCAACAGCTTTCCTGGTTTCCAGGGCTCTGAAACAAGCGATGTAGGCTGTTGTGTAGCTGAGGCCATTACCTATTTTGCTTCTGCCCAGAGGCAGCTTAGTTGCCTCTCATAACAAGAATCTCCTTGTTTCCAATAAACTGATGCTCTAGAGAGATGTGCAGTTACAAAGAGAAGGCTTTGTTCAGAGCACTTGGAGCTGGTCCATCAGGACATCCCCAGCATGCTTCCAAGATGGCCTATTGCTCCAACTGCTCAGAGTTCCCTGCCAGCTCACCTGGTAGGTGACAGGACCTGCATAGTGCTTCACAGTGAAGACTGGCAAAGGCAGCTTGGGCTTAGTGTACCAAGGGCTGTTTCCATGATGGTAATGACACTTCTGGAGGAAAGTGTGGTCAGTGGCCTGTAAAGGAGATGACAAACATGTTTCCTGCTGCTGCAACATATTCAGTAGGCTGGAAAGCCACTGTTAAACCAAAGATAAAAACATCTAATACTTATGCAAACACAGTCCCTGTTCAATCTGTATAACTGCCTTGCCATAACTATCCTGTGAAAGGGATCACATAAGAGGATAAGAGCTTCTCACCTGAGTCAGTGAAGTCTGGTCATCCAGGATACGCAAGATGCCATGGGGTTTTGCAGCAATGAAATCTAGGCATGACTCACTGTGCATCTTGGAAATAGGAATCCAAGCTAACTGCTCTTGGCTATATTCCTCCTGCACATTAAAGACCAACCAGGCAGATCCAGCCATGTAAACAAGAACAAATGCAGGGAGTTAGTAGAGGGATTTAGTTTATTCATCAGGTTCACTGCTGTTAGAAACTTGCCTAGAATGATCTGGTTTTGTCTTATGAAATTTCTTCTGAAGCCACTAATGATTTTCCTAATTTAAGAGAGGAAGGCGGCTAAGCAAAGTGATAAAGTGAACTGTAAAACACAATAAGTCTGATAAATAACACTTTCATCTCCAAGTGGACATGACCAGTACATAAAATGCTACAATGAACCTACCAAACAGGCTTTATCAGGGTCTGGGGTCCTTGATCCTGACCAGCTCACTTATAAAATATGTAAGAGGGAGCAAGGCACAAACAAACTCCCCTTTCCTTAATTTGCAGAATTAGTAAAAGATATTACATAGCCAGCTCTTTAGACTATGATTCCATGGGTACTGCTTAAGAGGGACAGGTCCATTCAGCTTCCTCCTTCACTGTTACAGGACACTCTCCAGTTGAGGCTGCTTCAGCTCATTCCATATGTGCTGCCTTTCACCTGCCGGTGTGAGTTCCGTTTACCTCTTCCTGGGCAATGACAGTCTGGCTGAAAAAATGCTGAAGATGCTCATTGGCAAAGTTGATGCAGAGTTGCTCTAAGCTGTTCACACCTAGATCCTGCAAAGACAAAAAGACACCATCACTTCCAACCCACAGCCCTCCCAGGAGGCTGCATATTCTGTGAATAATGCACAGCACCAGATGGTGCTGATACAAGCTGCTGGTTCAGGCAGCTTGTTCTGATCAGTAAGTGTGAATGAACCTGAGAAATTCAAATCATCTTATGTCTGGTTTGCAGGCGCTCAGCCTGGTTTACTGACGAGGCTGAACAGCAAGAGGCAAGACAAACTATGAAGGAGCACAAAGAAGATATCTACTCTTGGATGCACACCCCACATGTATACACTCCATTGTTTTCAGCATTCATCAGAATACACAGATTTTAACAGGAATCCTAAGTATAAAGCTCACAGGCTGAGATGAGCACAAATTACTCTAAGCCCCTGCTCTGCCTGTTTTGCTGCAAGTCTGGGAAGCCCACAGGAGCTCACTGGGGCAAAGACATGGGTGTACACCTGCAACGAGGGTAACAATTCCTCACCCAGAACTCTAGATGCTATCCTAACCTCAGTCTATGCAGCATCATACTGGTCAGTCCATGCAAAGGTATTATTCAAGCCTGACATGGTGGGAGCACCAGAAACCACTCTATTCGAGACTAGGTTGTTAACTGCCTAGACTCCACTTACACACCAATACTACTTGCAATCCACCCATCCTGTGTACCTTAGGATTCTACCTGTGTCACAGTCATGGAAGACTAAGGGGTCCTTCAGAGAGCAATTCATAACGAGACTACAGTAAAAGTGTTAAATCACACCCTGAAGGAGAACTTGTCTAGTGCCTCTGGAAAAAAAAAAAATCCCCACTGAACACAGATATCTACATTACATGGTACAATTACTATCTCCTTTGTGGAAAAAAGAAAAAAAAAAAAAAAATCAAAACCAAAAAGAAAACACACCCATCAGATAACTTCCCTTTTCTGGCAGTGACCGAGGAGAATGAGCACATGCACTTGCAGCCCAGAAAATACCAAAAGAATAGGAAAAGCCACCTCAAAACCATGTATGTCCACAATGCCCACAGCACAGTCCGATTCGCAGGGAGCCAACCACTCATTGATCCTCAGCAGCAGCCACTCAAAGAGCAGGTAATACAGAGTCTTGGCAATGGAGTCCCTGAGTAGGAGAGGGGAATAAAACCAGTTAACCAGTTACTGCAAAGACAGCACCCTTGGGTGCATCTCGCCAATCCAGACAACAGCAACAGAAGTCACCTGGCATCAATGGCTCCTTCTACAGACAGAGGTGTGAAGATCCGATCATATGATGTCACCTGGATACATACAGAGCCAGAATTTACTGTTATTATCTCACAAATACACATGGTTTTTTAAATCCACAAGGAAGTCAGCCCAGTTAATAAATGTTGTTGTTTTTTTTTCTATTTGGCCTGAAAATTTACCCAGGCATCAAAGGAAAAATTAAAAACAGAATTTTGTTGCCACATTTCAGGGTGGGAGTCAGCTGGCCAAAGTGTTAAGCCTGAAGCCACCTCATGTCAGAAAACAGCCCTCCTAGATGTGAGTTCTGCCATTTATAAAGCTGCCCTAAGGGATTCAGCCCATCCACATCACTGATCCAGCACAGCAACCATTTTACTCCTGTTGTTACCTCTCAGATTTTGGACCTTCTAAGGTGGTGGCCCTTCTGCTGACAGAGCACTGGGCCAGGGCATTCCATGCTTCAGGATGAATGAGTAATCACCAAAAAGGTACTCACAGTGACACGGTGAGTGACAGCACTTTGCAGGAAATCTGCTGAGACACGCAACAAATTGGCCACAATCTGAATCTCAGTGTCGCTGGCAATGGCTGCATGTTCATAGGTTTCTTTCTAAATAATAGAGAACAATAGATTCAGCTATGGATGGGATACTAGATTCCATTAGTATTAACGTTCTCAACAGCACCTCGGCTGCACTGAGCTGGTCACAGCCTGGGCAAAACACCAGCATCTAGGTTCATTTTGGCTCCTCAAAGAGCCACCCAAGCTCTAATGACCTTTGATTGCCTCCCATCTTCTGTCCCTGCATAGGTCAGTCCAGAGCCTAATATCAAAAGAACAGAATAGTCTCCAAAGGATGCCATCTTCAGTAAAGAATAATGTTCCCTGCCCCATGACATGAGATAAACAGCCCATTCCCAAGTGCCAAGGGTTAGTGTACCTCATAGGAGGTAAAGCAGATATTCCCCAGTTGCAGAATAGCAGCCAGGACAGCCCAGGTGGAGGTCAGTTGATCATCAGAGAGGTTGATTCCCTCCAGAGCTTGCACCAAGACCAGAAAGTCCTGACTGTCCTCCTTCCCTAGGATGTCACATGCTCTGCCCTGAAAGAATAGGGGCAGATAATCATGGTCAGCCCCTTTTGCCCCAAGCTGGAGCTGAGCTACCATCTGCGATCTTCTGAGTTCAATGTTCTTATGACTGGAGGAATCTGAAATAAAAAGACCAAAGACACCACTAGTAGGAGCTCAGCATTAATGACAGAGCGGTCTCGTCTCTTTCTGGAGTTTTTGAGGGTAAGATCTCTTTTGCCCATACACGCTGGTTTTGTTATGGTTCCAATATAGGCACCCCAGCTCCTCCTTGCCCACTGCTGCAGTGCAGCTTAAATGAAGAAGAGATGCCAGAATCTACTCCTAAGTAAGTCATGTCAGAGTTGCTACCCCAAACAATCAGAGCAAATAAGTTTCTGTGCACCTAAAGAGCCATCCTGGGTTATAGTCTCACTCACCTCTGCCACAGAGCTTCACTACAACATGGGCATATCACTCTTACTCTTCTTGTGCTTTATTCTACAAGAGGACACTCCTAATAGCCGTCTGTAACCCTAAAGTTCATAGAAATCCTGGGTCAAGGGGGTCTGTAGAATGTTTGGGTACAAGGGCATTGTTTGACACAAGTTTCCAGCTGATCGCCAGATTCAGAGGAGGACAAGAATGAAGTCCAGGGAGCCCCTGGGCTGCTTCTTGCCAAGACCAAGACCCAAGAGAGATTTTATCAATCTCTGCTAACTTTTCTCCTGATCTGATCTTTTTCCATTTTGCTCTCTGCAGCAGGCTGAGGCACTCCTGTCAACTATCACCTTGAAGAGCTTTTGTTTCCTCTGTTGTTTAATTTATAATACAGATCCTTTGCCAACTAGGAACATCACCCTATTAAGGGATGGGCCCTTAATTGCCCTCCATCCTTGAGTCATTAATGATACTTGTCCATTCCTTGCCTGAAGGAAAGATGATAGCAATCATTCCTCAAGGATTCCTCACATGACTACAGCTGCTGTTAAGAGTTTGCCCACCTGGGAAAGCTGGCCCCCACAGCTGAGGAAAAATATCTTGCTGTTGCTGTGAATTCTTTGAGTATGGAAAACATTCTTAAACAAAAGAAACCATGCTCCAAAGTGACGGCTTGCAATAAACCTGGCAAACAATGTTCCAATTTAAATAAGTTGTAATCAGTGGTACATTTCAGTAGTTTAAAATTTCCACCCATTGACTCAGTCAAGGAAGCAAGTGTTTTGCCGAAGGTAGGAAGACAGATCCCCTGCTCTTTTCAGTCCCACAATAAACTGCAAGTGCAAAGAGACAATGAGAAAAGGATTTCTTCACCACAGGGTGGAGCCACCGGCCTACGAGATAACTCCTTTTTTTAAAAGACTTTGGCAGCAGAAAGGGCCTGAAAGGTGAGAAAAAGATCACGTAAGAGACAAAGGTATTCCTTCCTAGGTCAGGTGTGAGAAGGGGCAGAGCAGACTTTAGCATAGTCTTGTGATGGACACATCAGGACAGAAGCAAAGTTATTAGGTGCCTCACTAACCAAACAGAAGTGATGTCTGGGCTATTTCACTCCATCAGCTGCTGCAGAGCATCCTCACCTCACTCACCTGATTCAGGTAAAAGTAAGACTCTGCCTCTTGCAAGTACATCTCCTCTTTCTGCTCCACAGGCAGCCCAGCCAGTAGCTCATAAAACACATGGTAGTTCCTCTCACCATGGGCCTAACAGGGGACACAGTTCATAGAGTTGACTCATATCCAGTTCCAAAACTCTACAGAGTACACTCAAAGAGCAGGACACTGAAACTCTGAGGTCAGCAAGATGAGGCCAGAAGCCACCCAATAACTACTTCATTTGAAAAGTTTCCAAGGTTTCTCACTGACGCCTTAAGAGCATTCCATCTGAGAGCAGTCTCTTTCGCACAGCTCCAATATCTGACCTTTTCCACATTCCAGACGTTAATAAAAATTAGTTAAGGAAAGATTTAACTTCCAGTAATCCCTAGTAATTGGCTTAATTCAACCTGTTTGAGACAGAGCAACCTCCTATTTTACCCAGATAAAACAAGCAATAACTTTGTGCTACACAGAGGAGACATATTTCTTGCTAGCAGAAGAAATGGGAGGCAATTATCATACTTATTCCCATTCCTGTTATTTAACAGTAAATTTAGGATTAAATATGAATAGGGAGAGAGGGACCTCTCTCAGAGGGAGGGGCTCATTAGTCCTCACCTGAAATACCACACGAGACTTCTCCAGCAGGTACTGGGAGATGGATGTTCCCACCACGATGCCACTAAGTGTAAGACAACAACAGATCCTGTCAGAAGTTAGTGATAGGATTTTTATAGATCCATTTCTCTGAGGGTTTAGCAGAGGGAGTTTTGCTGAGAAACAAGGGTATGGTCTGAACAACTTGGTCTGAATTTTGAAGCTTTCCAGCACTGGCATTTTGTTTCAGACTATTACAGAGAAAGCAGCTATGAAAAGTACAGATTCAAGTTTGGGTTCTGAACAGCCTCCAGGATACAAAAGAGCTTGGACTTCAATGATTCTCCTAAAAATAGTCCAAGGAACACACCATGCCCCTTCCCTTCAGCTGTATCTGATTGCTGTTGCGTTACCACTCCCCTGTCTGACCTTACCCACCCGTTTCACATGTCAAGCTGACAGCCTGTGGGGACAGGGACCAGGTTTTTGTTTTGTCATTTAATTGCATCTTGCACAAAGTGATACTGGACCAAAACCAGGATGTCCAAGTACTACAGCAATAGCAGGCCATGCAGCCAGCAGCCTGGAGTTAAGCTGCGTGCAAGGATCTACAGGCCTTTAAGCCTGTTGTGTCCCATGTAGCTCAGGCAGATGAGTAATGAAGGGCTGGATTTCTGGGCACCTGCAGATATATAGTTGATTTCAGAGTCAATGTAGTTTCTGTAAAAGGAGATCCTGCCTCACAAATCTCCTGGAGTTGTTTGAAGGGGATGACAAATTTGCAGATAAGAATAATCTAAGGGATATAGTCTACATGAATTTCCAAAAGGTTTTGACAAAGTTGTGGGACTTCCAGGGAAAACAAGCAACCACAGTGTGAGAGGGAAGGTCCTGACATGGGGAGGAGTAAATGGCTGATCCTCTTAACAGTGGGAGGCAACCACTAGAGTTCCACAGTGTCTGTGCTCTGACCTGTGAATGTAACCCAAGATTTGAGAAGTGACCTAAAAGAGGAGCTGAACAGCAATGTGACAAAGCTTCCTGATTGTATGAAATTATTCAAGGCAGTGAGGATGAAGGCCAACTGTGAATAAAAGCAGACAAACATTACAGTACTGAGTGAGTGAGCAAGAAAATGGCACATAAAATTCGCTGTAGGTAAATTAAAGTGATGTGTACAGGCCGAAGTAATCCCAGCTTCACTTACAAACTGACAGGCTCCGAGTTAACCATTGCTGCTGAGGACTGAGACCTTGAGGTTATAATAGACAGTTCCATGAAAATATCAGCTTAGTGCAAAAGGTGTTCTTCATGGAGCTGGTTAGACCTGTAGAACACTTGCCAAAAACTGTCACAGAGGCATGAAGTTTTTATGAGTCCAAGAGGAACAGGAAAGCCACAAGAGTCTCAGAAAAACTCCTGAGCTGCTGCAAATGACTAAGAGCTAACAGAGTGTTAGAGAAAAGAGTTGTACGTGTTTGGCCAGTTCTTACTGCTGTCTCAGTGAACACTTGCAGACAGTGTTGAAGACACAACATTATTAGATGGCTCCTTGGTATAAACCAGTTCAGCCATTGTTATGTTCTTAATTTATCACTCATCTTGAGACATGAAGATCTATTCTTTTGTTGAGGAAACCTAAAAGCAAAATGGGGTGTAAACTCACCCTCTTTCTATCCTGATGATAACAAGAGTGTA